GGTCCTCCCGAAATGGACCACTCAGTCTGTTGTTTGTAAACAACAGCCGGAAGCGGCCCCGGGAGGAGGAAGAGAAGGGTTACCACTAATTTACTGCGGCAGGCGACGGTCATGTTTGATGTCGCGGATAAGCCCTGAGACATAAAACCAAGCCGCTTCTGTGATTACATACTACAGTGCGTGTGAAAACTGCGCCGTGACTGAGGGTGAGAATAATGTTGGAGAGCCACTCGAGGGCCGCCATACATACAACAACCCTTAATAACCGATTACAGACGTACCTTTAATTGGCAATCAAATTACCAGCTGTCTGCGTTACACTAATTGACTTTTTCCTCGACCTATTGTCGATATGATACGTCGCGGTTGGAGCAGCAGAGCTCTGAAACTGCGAGGAGAATAAATGGGAAGCGATTAGACAGTCAATCCAACGTTTTACTGCCCTGGGGCGCGGCCGGCCGTCAACTGCAGATTGTGTGCGAGAATTGCCCTTCTCACAAGAGCATAAGACTTGGCCTCAAGTGGCTATTTACTGGAAAACCGATCAGCCCATAACAAAACAATATCCCGGGGATAAACCGTTCCACCTCGCTGATAATCCCTGCTTCAAGGAGATACACAAGTTTGCTACTGGGCGCAGGATATCATCAGATCGTGTTTTTTTCGATTCTCAAGTGACTATGGCAGCCTAGTTGAGTTTGGTCAGTAGAATAACGTTGTCTCAGGGGGAGGGGGGGAGATTGAGGAGCCCGACACCCTGAGCCTCAGCATGGTATACAGATTTTAGACCTATAACAGACATTCATGTTTTTTGGTGAAGCCTGTCGTAGCAAAGTTTTGGTATTAGTTCAGTGTTGAAGTAATTAAAAAACCAATACAGATGATCCGTACTTCATTGGCCAGAAATGTGTTCGTACTACTGACAAACTTCAGTAAACCACAGCTGTAGTACACGTTGAACGGATGGTGCAGCGTAGGTCACAACTGTTTGCCGAACACTAATTTCATAGTCTTGGGATTTCTGATATAGATGTTTTACTCGGTCGTAATTTAATGGCTAAAAGAGGACATGGATACTGAGGAGCCATAGTTACCAGGTCCCGCTATTTTCATGCGACCCGGCGTGTCAAACCTCAATCTTCCGCACTTAGATAGCATCGCCGCCGGTGATACGCAAATGCCTAGTCGTAAACGCGGCTTTGCAGTTAAAAAGGATCACCAGTACTGTGTGTATGGAAATCAGAAGGTCGCTGAGTTTTAATCTGATCGCAAGACAGAGTAAAACAAGCGACCGAGTTGTTTGATAAATTCTGTCAAACACACATCTTAGGTCGAGGCATCTCAAAAGCCGAACCACTCACACTTGAGGGATGATTTTCAACTGCTAAGCTTATCAATCAGCATCTAGACCTTTTCGCGGCGCAAATTGACGTACGCGTTACGAATGATTACTGAGTTAAAGTATACTCAAATAGCCAGACCTTCTCGATTGTAGTCTACATAATTTGCTAGGTTTCCACGCATGATACCTCACAACTCGCGCGGCTGGCATGGATCTAAAGACTTTGCTACGCAGGTTGACCTTCTATCTATCAGTCCTTTTGTAAATCTCGTTTGCTCATAGGTCGCGCGCGCTCAAGTTGATCACTCAGTGAACCAAGGATCTCGATATTCACCTTTCATAGACGAACCAACGTATGAGAAATTTGGTTAATTGTACTTGTACTTGTTACGGCTGCGATCATAACTGATCTAGCCGGCCTCAATTATGTCCCGTATGGTGCTTCTCCACGCGCGACGATCCGTGACCGCAGGCCTGGACAGTTGAACCCATTCTCTTCGCCAGCGCTGGAGACCGAAAACCGAAAGTCCAAGAACCACTTTCATGTCCTGACTGACTGAGTGGAGCCAGGTTTTGAGTTCACCCCCTCTTCGACCTTTCCAATTAGGCAACGGTTTCAAGTCGAGGGCAGTAGTAGCCAAAGCGCTAGAGGAGACAACCTCAAACACAATCCGTGCGGCTGTTGGGGACCCGCTCGTACCCAAAATTACCAAGTCACCTCAATGAATTTCATGAGATGGTTTGGTTAATTTAGCAGAAAGGTTAAGGTTGCCTAATTATAAAGGTTACAATCAAAAGTAAGATAGAAAACGACGCAGAAAATGACGCAACTCGAAGACACCTTCGAGGTTAAAAGATGGAGAAGTATGGAAAATACTGTTGGTCGATCTTTTAAGAGATTCTGGAGATTAGTGTCGTGGAATAAACGAGGAAATCGGAGAAAGTGCTCCTGGCCTACGAAAGGTCTTACTGTAAGAAGGAAGTACTAAGGGAAGTCCTGCGAATTCGCGCATAATCACAGGGCTATTAGGTTGCATGAAGATCAAGCCCTAAAACCAACCTTCCAGACGCAACAGTAGAGTTTATTTTACACTGAGAGGAAGCTGAGAGTATGTATTATATTAGGAGAAATGTCACTGACAACGATAGCATCAGAAAATTTCCCAAATGCGAAAAAAAAGTCTGCATGTCCTACAAAAGGGATCATAAAATACCTGACTATTTCTTTTCTCTGGGTTGTAAATCGGGCCCCCAAACACAACGGGCGTGTAGGTTCCGTAAAGCGATTGGCGAACAATCATCTACCACAGTTAACATATGCGACCGCAACCGACAAGACAAAGAATCGCTACCTCAGTAGTTAGTGAACTGGACTTACCAACAGAGGGCGGGTCCGCGGCTCAGCATTTGCAAACTGGAGATGACTGGCTGGTAACGGCTAATAAGCCGGGAATAGCCATTCCAGTCTCTCTTACCCTTACCAATCGTTATTCCCCTGCACATGCGCACAAACGCAGCTACGTGAAAACGCTACTACCAACAAGGCCGACGTCCAGTTTCTGTGGAAAGTCTTCACAGTCAATAGATACCCTGACAGTTTTATCGAAAAGTCCAGGCGACGGATCAAGGAAAGAAAAGCCAATGGGGCAGTCGGAGCCGAAATGCTGGTATGCAGTGCCCTGTATAGTTGGTGAATGAATTTGGGATTGGCATTGCTCACAGACCGGAGACAACCATCAGCCCTATTACTCGTGCATCCTAAGGATTCAATTTCCCAGATATCAGAAATCTGGTGGCATTTACCGGATAAAATTCAATTGTGGTCAATCCAACTATTTTGGCAAAACCAGTAAACAGTTCCACGCGAGATTGCACCACCATGAACTTATTGTGAGACAGGCAGGATTGGAAAAGAAAGTAGGACTATTGGGGATCCGCTTTTATGTAAAACTCCCATAAGGAGTATGCGCGGGAAATGTCCATCGAAAGTAACATAAACGCTCTTAGAAGAAGAAGAAGAATGCTATATTGAGGATTTTACAAACCTGAATTTTCAGCCTAGTCGAAGTGCCACTCTCGGAGGGCAAGAATGCCCTTTTAGGCAGTGAACCGGTGAAGCTCAGTGTTTGCATGAAAAACGCCGCATAAGACGATGTGAATATGCGGACCAAAAGTGCAGGCAAAAACTCTGGTGGCAGATATTCACAGGAAATATTAAAAACAGAGGAGCCAGCAAAAGACAGTGGCAGTCCCACCTGCTAATCTGAATTTACATATATTTACATCGCAAAGAGAAAGAGCACACGAGGCCCAAGTACAAGTCCCTTACTCATTTACTCATTGGCTCGCGTGAGAGTTTGAAACGTCGGATGAATAAATTACTGGTCCCAGAGACCGCCTATCCGTCTTCTGCTATCTGTACCCCTGCCTACAATTGCCAAATGGGTGAAGTAGACGCAGAAACTAGCTAGTACACGCGGTAAAATTTTCGAGCGAAAATGGGCATGGAGCCTTCGTAGGACAACTTTCGCAAGAAAATCCGCCAAGAGGCTACTTGGCTCTGAAAAGGGGCAGGCAAACACCGGCAGAAGTCGTACACAGAAGGGTCAAAACCTCACTCGTCGCAGAGACAGTTCTCTTTTATACTGAATGGAC